TATCTTTTCAGTATTCTGGTGGCTTTCCTGCTTTTCTTTCTGTCTCATGTGGCAAAGAAAATGCCCCAAAAGTACCTCTAAGCTAGCTACTGCTATTTGTATTAGATTAGATTTGTAAGATAATCATAATATGCTGGTTGTAAAAAAGGAAGTGGAAGTCTAATCTGAAAACACAGATGTGATGCTCATATCTTTAAATTCAGTGGCGACTTGTATATTTATATGATTGTCTGTCGCAAAAACACATCCATAAACCCCTTAGAACCATGGGGAAAAAGATGTCCGCTAAAACTCCACAACTTGCCTGAAAACTATCAGGTTTTTCAAGTATTGTCAGTATCAAAGTAATCCGAGATAGTTGGTCTGTCCATCTATGGGCACATGGCATTCAATGTTGCCATTTTGCCAAAATTTGAACAAAATGGTTAAAAAACCGGCCTAGAAGTTGTAGGCCACAGCTAACTAGCTAACTGACTCCATGGGAACATTATACTTCATACCAAAGTATTATGGGAACCCCACATTTAAGTGAGACAAACAATAATAACAGGAATGACAAAAGCCATTAGTATTCATTTTGTTCATGTTAAAAAATGATCTTCTCTGAGGGAACCAAGGTTAATATCATTTTAAATCTTTTTTTAGTGAATGTCAGATCTGTGCTGACCTGTTATCTGAGATATATATAAGCTTTAATGGACAAATGTACATACCATTTAGTTGTGTGGTGGACGAAAAATATACCCTAGAAGGTAGTAGTGGTTTTACTTCTGTCTCCAAGAAAGAGGGATGTATTCTCCGGATTTGTGTAACATGAAACTCAGCCCAAGTGAAAGAAACTGCTTACTTCTTGTTGAATACTATACAGCAGTGTCCTGTTAGCTTTGCTGGTTCCAGTAAGTGGCATCATTGACAGCAACTTGGACTCCTCGCGGACCACACGTTTCTGAGGAGGGAGATAGACATACTGCAGTTGAAGCTGCTTTTTGATAGCTGTATGTTGTACTACAGGATTAAATTAGGTATTGTGAAAGGGCTGTTCAGGTACTATACCTCATAAACATCTTGGTAACTTAGTGCTGTTCTAACAATTATTGTTTGACTGGCTGCCGCCATCCCAGCTGCGTACTGCACACACACATAAACCAACAATAGAAAGTGAAACATCATTTTTGAACACATGTATACATTATGAAAGGAATATCTTAAATTGTCTTTTACCAGAATCAAACACCATCTTTTTCCTGTACAGGCTCCAAACACACCGAGCACTGAGAGCAGCAGACAGCCGATCTCCATGATGTACATTATCACTACAGAAACATTGGACACCAGCTGAGGAGAGAAATAACACTGGCATTAAAGCGATATATTGACTGGCCAACAATTCTTGTTTTATTTAACAAAATAACCTAAGATCAAAGCATCTGTGGTAGAATTCAAAGGAGATATTCACTTACACTGAATATTAATATTACATTGTCGCCACAGATGTATTTCCAAGCTAGCATAGCTACAAAAGAGGTCAAAGGTCAGGGCTAGCTACAGAACAGCACTCTTAGAGCCTGAAGATAATTCACTGTCTTGCCCAAGGACACTTCGACTGGCAGGTGCTTGCCAACATGAGGGCTTGAACTCAGGTCTTCCAGAGAAAAGACAATAAAAAATGCTGTAGTGGTCAGGCACTATTGATGGAAGACCAAGCAGACCCATGCATTAATAATAATTCCCCAGTTGCCCTTGGATATCACAGCAACTCCTTTGCTCCTTTAAATCCTGACAAGACAAGAGCTATTTTTGCCTCCAATAAGTATTATCTGCTTACAGGAAATAATTTTTTATTCTCTCAGAAGATCAGTCTTACTTTGCCAGTTTGTATGAGGTCTCTATGCCAAGCTACTGTCATGGTCAACATGAAGAAGCACAGCGCCTTTTTGGAGAAAGAATAGAAACATAAAAATGTGTTAAGTTTGCAAACTACTGCGTGTTAATTATACATGGAAAGACATGGAAAGAAAGGGAAAGAAATATAGTAGGTTTACACTGCCAGTATCTCAAAATGTGCGTCCAATCTATAAATACACTTGTAAGTATCACCACAGATGTTTTTAAATGTGTGCTGCCTTTAGGTGTCACCTTATAGAGGAGCAGTATGGGGCTAATGGAAGGCATGCTACACAGGGTTGGCCTAAAGTTGAAATAATACAGCACATTGGGCACATGACTCACACACTGTAAACATGTAGCATTATAAGAATATTACAGATATTCTTTGAGGGGAGAGGTCGGTGTGAGGAGGGATGGAAAAGGATGCTTATCCTCTGTAGATGCAATTCTAACCTGCACTATGGCGTCTTTTTTTATACAGCTACCAGCGATTTTCTTCCTTTTCATGACTTTCTTAAAACATTTAGGAATAAAATGCACTGCAGACACACTGTACATCATTTTGATGGAGGGGGGTTCGCTGCAGCACGTTTGTATGTGAAACACAGGCTACAGCACAAGGCTTGTTTATTATGGACTGATTTGGGTCAAAATAACAGCAGCAAATCAAACATTTCATCAGAGGTATGGTCTATAAAAGGCAAACAAACAGGCCTCCAGGCTTAAATTGCATTCAAAAGCAGTGGAAATTCACCTACCATATGCACAGCATTTGCAAAAATAAACGGCCTTTTCAGGCTGGTTTTGTCCGCCACCACGACCACTGCGTTCCGCTGCATGCTGCTGCTTCTCTCCGGAGCTTTAAAACACCCTTTTACATAAAGACAATCTTAAGGCTACAGAGCTGTGAGATTTCGTTCAACAGTAACGGCATCTATGTCTCTATCTATCCGCACAGGACGTCACTGTGATGTGCTGGATGAGGATGCTCTGCGTCGCTTTCACGTGCAGTCGGAAATATTGGAATCCGGAGGATTAGCGCACAGGAATGATGCTCAGCCATGATTAAAGGAATTAATACAGGAGTGAAGGGTGCAGTGAGGAGAAGGGCCGTAGCCAGGATTATAAAAAATACTGATCACCCGTCAGCACACACAAATGGTTGACCTAAATCCCCCCCAAAAATACAGTCACTAAAGGTCACTTTTTTTAATTATGTGGATTTTCACATTTTATTTATTCATTTAACTAATGGATTATAGTTTCTGTAAGTTTTGTTTCCAAAAATGAAAGCTCCCCGCAGGTTTGCAAAACTAACAAAGGCCTATAAATAAAAATAAAATACAGTGGAAGTGACCTCAGTGTCCCCAGCCCTGAAGCTTCCTCATTTTTATCTTTCTCATGCAGAGTGAGTGGGAGTTCTACTAATTCCATCTGCTGATTGTGAATTTATACATCAGTTATGGTTATTAAACCATATTATGCTTGTTAAAGTTATTGCTTATACTCTAGTGATATTTACTTGTATATACATTTTTACTTACCACTATTTGTCTCTATGTGAGTCCATAATGACAGCATAGAGTGAGGGGGGGTATGGTAGTACAGTACTTAAGTACATTACTAAATATTTATATCTCACCTCTGCTAAGCAATTGTTTATGGCTTGACCAGAATTTAAAATAATGTTCTGAGAGTTGCAACAGGCATTGAGTCTGTGGGAGGAGAAATGTGCTGACTTCCTGGCAAAAAAAATGACTGCAATTCCCAGGATCCCACAGTGGTAATGGGGCTGGGCTACTTCCCTAGAACAGGTAGGGCGGGTTTCTATTGTTTCCACAGGTGCTATGAGAGAGAGAGAGAGAGAG